ACTCAATACCAAGGACCTGTAAGCCAAACACTACTACTCAATACCAAGGACCTGTAAGCCAAACACTAGTACTCAATACCAAGGACCTGTAAACCAAACACTAGTAAGGAACAGCCAAAAAGAGTGCAGAAAAGTTTGGCTATGGTTCGGCGTGTAGCTGGCCGTGTGGCAGCGCGGGTGACGTATGGAGATGGACCCAAGTACTGTTCAGCCCCGCTTCCGTGCAACTGTGACCAGAGGAAGAGACAGGAGACTACAGCTGGGACCCCACACGTCAAGGACGAGGATCGGAGTGAGCATACAATACCGAAATGGGGTGCCGCTAGACTTCCCTTTGTAGAGCCACCCATGATCCTCGCCCAGCGCAAACTAGGCTCTGCCCAGCGCAAACTAAGCTTCATCTCTATGGGTCACTTACATGGCACATGCTTCTACCGTATGAGAACACTGAAATTTATTCTGCAAATTCTCTCTTGTTGTGACCTCGGCATTGTTGTTTATTCTGTTAAAAATTGCTATGCCACGGTGGAAATCTTTATTTTACCCTAACGTCTCGACTTGGTCGTCTTCTCTAGAGGCCAAGTTTCCGCCGTATATCCGCAGTCACACGCGGCTAGTAGTCAGTGGAGAAAACTGGAATTTATATCGGGCGGTGCTCACAGTCATTGTATAGGCAAAGCACGCAGTTAGAAGCCATCAGTATGAACCAAATTGTGGGTACTTTGAAAGAGATCGTTTAACGCCTGTCATCTGTCCTTTTCTTCGTTTCATTTTGACGACTGTTTCACATTCAACTCATGTTTAGATGGAGAATCCCGCTCAAAGAGCTCACATTTACTTCAAGGCTAAACCACTCGTTGATCAATACACTAAAAATCCAAAAGATTTTGGTAGGCTTCCACAGCATTTTTCAGATTGCTATGCTTGCTTTACTAGCATGGTTTGTTTTAATGAATTTCTCATTTTAAGAAGCTTTCGTTCGTGTTTATGAGCAAATGATTCGAGATGAAATGGAGAAGGCACGTTTGATGGCAGACCCTGCAAGTGCAGAGGGTCAACGGTTAATTCAAGAACAGATACAACAAGAGAATATCAATTACTCGTATGCACAGGTCGGCAGGTTCTATTGGTGTGTCAGCAAATTCATTGAACTCCTGTTCTGGTGTACCTATCATGCAAACTCTTGAGCATTGAACTACATTCTGGTTCGCAGCGGACGATGGCGCGTGTCATTGTGGCTGCTTTGGCACGGCGGCAAACCTCTATTCTGGTAGTTATAGAAGCGAGGATGCAGCAATTCTGAATCATATCGTTCATGTCCGTCGTTTTCCCACAACTGTTGCCGTTTACCTGA